TGCCATCGACAGGAGCGCTGCCCCAGGACCCCCGCGGAGAGGCTCGCTGGCGGAGCGAAGGGAAGAGGATCTGGGTGGCAAGTCTGAGAATGCGGTACTGGCTCCTCCCACCTCCCTGTGGACGAGGGCGGGGTCCTGGGGCTTCCCTTGCCAGTGGGCAGATAGCGCTGACTTAGGAGAGGTCCTGGGAGGAAACGCAAGTGGGAGGGGAATGTACTGGTGTGGGAGCCGCTGCTTGAAGGAGGAGCACCGCTGGCGGCCGCTGTGACTGCACCGCACCTTTTCTAGGGGCCCCTACGGCCCTCCGGCCCTGCACCTGCTCTGCACGGGGCCCCTGCAGTCCCCCCGGGTTCCTGGAAACAGACTCATCTTATCAGACCTGTTTGGTGTAAATACCACCTGTTTACTCTGATGCCCAGCGGGCGGGACAAATGCTGTCTACAGCCACTTTCTGGAACCTTCTCTAGGGTGTCCAGCTCAGCGTGGACACCGACAGCAGGCGATCGCTGTCGTTGAAACTGCACTGTGTGTTCTGCCATTAAGACGTTCTGTCCTGGAAAAGTGAAAATGAGAGTTAACTATTGAAAACAGACTCTGACCAGGGACATTTTTCATTAAAACGCCCACGGCTCCCTGACCAGTCTTGACGCTTGGGGCACGTGGAGCCCGTTTCTCCCGGCCCAGAGCCCGCCTTCCGGTCCCGTGATGCCCCTTGATGAGCCGCTTGTTCTGTGGGCTGGCTCTCAGGTTGGCCCGGGCGCCAGGGCTGCCCTCCCGTCCCGCCTCCTTCCCTCTCCTCTCCTCGCTCTCGCTCTCCGGCCTCTCAGGGATGTTCTGGGGCTCCTGGGCGGTGCCCCAGGTGAACCGGTTCCCGCATTGCTTGGACAGGGCTCCCCGAGGATGCCGCAGGACTCCGAGGCCCCCCCAGCGTGGGGGGGTGCCAGCCTGGGGGCCCTGCAGCCTCCGTCTCGGACGCCCGCTCCCGCAGGGAAGAGCCCGGTGCCAGCAGCCAAGAAAGAGCCCAAGGAGCCTAAGAAGGTAACGTGGCCACCTCCAGCGGGGCCGGCTCGGCTCGCACGGCAGCCCGGGCACCCCGGAGGCCAGGGCCAGGCAGTCGTTTCTTCTCTAATTAAGCCAGACGCGTTTTCAGAGGAGCCACAGTGTGAGGGGCACAGTGGTGGGCGTTCTGTCTGTGCCCACATGTCACCCCGCCCAGCTCAGAGCTAGGGCCGTTCCTGCTCCCAGAGGCCCTGCGTGTCCAGGACTGTCCCCTCCCGCCCGGGGCGGCCTCTCTGTCTCACTGAGGAGTTTGGCCTTTGTTGCGTTTTGCCTGAAGGAGGCCCGTCCCCCGTGTGGGGCGATCCGTGTGGCTGCCACCGTCCTACTGCCCTTCCTCCCGACGGGTGCTGGGTTTCTCCCCACCGGGCACACCCGGCTCTGCCTGGGCTGGTGGCAAGGGCGCTGTTTCTCTCGGGTGTGGCCCAGGGCACAGGCAGCCGGTCCAGCTTCAGAAGGTGCTGTAGGTGGTGCAGGCCACCCTCCCGGCAGCCGCCCACCGTGGCACCACCGTCCAGGCCCTGTCCCGTGTGCAGGGCGGGCACTGGCGCTCCTGCTGGCCCTTCTGCCAGGCGGTGACACTTGCTGTGCTTGCGTTGGCGTTTCCTGGCGGGGGTGGTGCTTGTGCCTCTCCATCCTCGGCCGCGTGCGCTGTGCTCCCCCAGGCTCCCTGTGCTGTCAGGACTCGCAGGAGGTCTCCCCACGTGTGGACACAAGTCCGAGTGCTCCTGGCTGCGGGTCCTCAGAGCGGGTCACACAGGCTCGTCCTGTGTCGTTTTGCTCGGCCGCGCCCTCACGTGCTTGTCCTGGTTTGGTTCAGAATGCCGAGTCCTGGTTCTCGCGCTGGCTGTCTGGGAAGAAGAGGACGGAAGCGTACTTGCCAGACGACAAGAACAAGTCGGTGGGTGTCGCCGGAGGGGCCCCCGAGGGCTCGTGGGTGTCGCGGTGGCGTGTCCAGCAGCGTTGTCAGCGCTGTATTTCAGCTTCAGAACGACGCACATACGTGTCCCTCCAGTCTGTGTCACAAAGTAGTCAGGCTGGCCCAGTGGTCGGCAAACTGCGGCCCCTTGAGTGTGGCTCTTCCACAAAATACCACGTGCGGGCGCGCACGTACAGTGCGATTGAAACTTCGTGGCCACACTCAAGGGGCCAAAGAGCTGCATGTGGCTCGCGAGCCGCAGTTTGCCGACCACTGGGCTAGCCGCTCCGCTCTGCCCGCTGACCTTGTTCTTTGCTTTTCGCAATCGCGGCAGATCGTCTGGGACGAGAAGAAGAACCGATGGGTGGACACCAATGAGCCGGAGGAGGAGGTTCGTTGGGGGGCGGGGGGCTCCTTGTGCCCGGGAGGAGGCCTGCCTCCGAGCTCTGTCTGTGGCGCGTCCGGGCCTTTGGGCTCGTGAGCAGGTTTCTGAAGCCACTGTCCCTCCGCAGAAGAAGGCTCCGCCCCCACCCCCAGTGTCGCTCCCCAAGGCTCCGCAAGCTGCCGCCCCTGGGCCTGGCGGGCCCCCCAGAGCCTCTGTGAACATGTTTTCTAGAAAAGCAGGTAACAAAGTCAGGCCAGAAGTGGGCGCTGGTTTGGATAACCCGTGTGTCCTGCAGCCGTGCCGGGGACTGGGTCCTGAGTGGGACCGCAGGGGGTGGCCGCCCCCCTGTGGGCGAGGGGTGCAGAGCAGGGTGGAGAGGGGCCCTCGCCCGGGGCAGGTGCCAGCAGAGGCGCACCTCGGGGGGCCGTCCAGCAGCCGCTCGGTGGGACGGGAGAGGTTCCTGCGGCTCCTTCTCTGCCGCGGGGAGGAGGCCATGGGAGCGGGCGGTGGCACGCCACTGACTGCCACCTCCCACCGTAGCCGGGAGCCGAGCGCGCTATGTGGACATCCTCAACCCGGGCGGGTCCCAGCGCACCGACCCGGCGCTTGCCCCCGCGGACCTCTTTGCTCCACTTGCCCCGCTCCCGATCCCGGCGCAGCTGTTTGAACCAAACCCAGGTAGGCAGTGTGGGCGGCAGTAGCCCACGCCTGCCCTGACTCCCTGAGAGCCGCTGGCCTTACTCTCCCCGGAGAGGAGTGTCGCAGGGTGCAGAGGGCCTCATCCCTCCCTCCTCGCGTGCCCTCCTTCCTCGCGTGCCCTCCTCGCGTGCCCTCCTCCTCGCGTGCCCTCCTCCTCGCGTGCCCTCCTCGCGTGCCCTCCTTCTCGAGTGCCCTCCCTCCGCGAGTACATGCGTGCGGGTAGGTGGACACGGCCGGCTGCTGGGATGTGTCAGCCCCTCCCTGCTGTCTCCTGCACAGACGCAGAGGGAGCCCCACCTGCAGAAGGGTCTGGCAGGGAAGGGCAGGCGCCAGCTGGGGGTCCAGCCCTTCCAGAACCTTCCTCGGAACCGCAGGTGAGCGGACGCAGCGGGACAGGACAGGCCCCGTGGGGGTTTGCCTCCTCCCCGGCCAGGAGCGGCTCTTGATCATCTGTGGGCGTCCCCGGGACACCGCTTCTGTGCGCGGGCGACCGTCCAGTGGGGGCTCACACTGTCACCACGTGTGGGACGTGCTGGTGTCTCACTGAGGTCCCGGCAGGAAAGGTGTTTCCTGTGGAGGACTTGACGGGAAGGAGAGGGGTTCAGAGTGTGGGCTCTGAAGTCGGATCAGCCGGTTCAGCCCTGGTCCCCGCTAGTCAGTGTGTGAGATGTGGGAGTCACTTCCAGGCTCAGGTTCCTCCTCAGAAATGGGATACAAATCACACCAGGCCACAGGCACACAGTGGGACGCGGGACGGTGATGTCCGGTGCACGCACAGTGGGTTCTTTGCTCCACTTCTCCGAGGAGCCCTCCGTGGAGCAGGGCAGTCTGTAGCCTGGACCCAAGGAAGGCGCCATGTCACCCGCCCCTGCGGGAGGCTCGCTCACTGACCTTGGTAGTTGCTGCATTTCGTGTCCTTCCCGGCAGGTTGTGAGCCCGGCAAACTCGCTCCCTGCTTCTGCACTGGCCCCCTGCCCAGTGGACGGTCCCCAGGGGGGAGAGGTAAGGGCGCCCCAGAGTCTCTTCCTGTGAAAATGAGTGTTAATGGGCAGAACAGGCAGTTTAAACGCTTTCACAACTTGAAGAGTTGCTGTATCCTAAGTGCAATCGCACTGTTGTGAGCAGAATCCCTGGGAGGGGTTTGAGGTCACAACCCAAGCCTGGCACGCCGATTGCTGCATTCCTCAGGGTCCGGCGGTCGGCGGCTCTGGCCGAGACCAGACAGACCCCCCACTAATGTGTCTTAACCAGACCTGGGCGTTAAAACGGGCCTGCGAGGCTCGCCCGCCTCTTCCCACTGGAGTTCTCGTGGCTGGTAAAGCTCTGGAGTTGCTCCCCGGCTTGGAGCGCGGCGCATTTGACTGTCTGTTCTCGCTGTTTTGTAGCTTTCGCGCTGTAGCTCAATGAGCTCACTGTCCCGTGAAGTGAGCCAGCACTTCCACCAGGTACCCGTGGCTGGCGGTTCTCACTGAACACAGGGCTCTACTGGGTCACCTTCGTGTTCCTTCAGGGCGCGGTGCTGGTGGCTCACTAACGTCACCCAGGTGTCACCCAGCCGCCACATGACTGGGATGCAGGGTTCCTTTCTTCCAGCGTCTCGGCGAGTGTCCCCGTGCAGACGCACTGACCATTGAGTGGACCCCAACGTGCCAGGGGTGGGGGATTGTAACTGCACGCCCTGAATTGGCTTTTTCCAAATCATTGGCCGTGGGCGTGGCCTCGCTCTGGGTCGGTGCTCACCTGAAAGGAAGAATTCCTCTTCTGCTCAAGCACAAGCAGGTTCACGCTCAGCCGGGCGAGTGCAGCGCGACAGCTGTCCTGTGGCCGCGCTGGGAAGGGAAGGAAAGGAATGCTGCATCTTCGTGTCTCGCGGAGCCAGGCTTGCCCGTGACTGGTCGGAAGGCGTCACGTGGCCTGTAGTTTGCGTGTCACCGCACTGGTTCCGCGCTGGACACTAGATGGCAGTCGCTGCCGTGCCTGCTGGCTGCTCACCGCACTAACGCTGTGCGCGCCTGGTCGCCCGGTCGCGAGCTCTGTGCATGCTGCTTTGCGGCTCACCCCGAATAGTGTCTGTGCTTGTGGCTGTGACGTCGTCTGTTGAGCTGCGCTCTCTGTGGTTCTCAGGCTTCCAGTGACCACCCCCCGGCAGAGGCGCCCCCCGGGGCATCCGTGACCTTCTACAACCCTGCGCAGTTCGCACAGGTAAGCTGCGCGGTCTCCTGGGCGGGAGTGGGAGGCCCAGTGCCGGCTCGGCCACGGCCTCGGGTCCTGCCACTCCTGCTGCTGTGCCCACTGCGGTTCCCTGGCTGCGCCGGCCGTGCTGCGCCACCTGGTGCCACGTTCTTCCATCAGGGTGTTCTTTTTAAAAAAGACATATTTATTGATTTTAGAGAGGAAGGGTGTTCTCCACTGCTCCTCCCACTCCCCTCCCTCCCAGGCTCTTGCCTCTACAGCACAGACTGGCTGCCGGGTGAGGGGAGCTGGGGGACAGGCATCTGCAGAGCTCTGGGCACTGACAATGGAAACCTCACCTGCGCCCTGGGGCACACCCTGCCTCGCCTCCCGGTGTGCCTGCTGCCCAGTGTGCCCGCCGCCCGGTGTGCCCAGCCTTCTTTCTCGGAGCCGCCCTGCTGCCCTCTGCGTTGGGCAGCTGCCCAGGAGGCCCTTTCTTGGCCTCTGTTCCCCTCCCGCTCCCAGGGCCAAGGCCTGTTTCCGCCTGGAACCCGTCTGTTTTCCCCTTCAGGATGGGGTGGTGGCTCTCCCTCCCGGACCTCGATCTTGCAGCTCACCCTCCACAGGAGCCCTCAGCCTGCACGTCAGTCTGGTTTGTGAGGGAGCAAGTCGGTGCCTGTCCTTCTCCTCAGATGCTCAGCCCTTGGGATTGGCTCCCTCTGAGCCCCTAACAAATGGCTGCACCTTTAAAGGGACCCCAGGACCTGACCCTGACGCGGCCCGTGGTCGTGGCTGCAAAAACGGGGCACAGCAACCTGCCCTTTGGGCGTCGGGGGTGCCGGCCTGTCACCCCGGCCCACGTAGCAGCACCGAGCCCTCGCGAGGGGCACCCACCTCAGGGCGGGCGGAGTCAGTGCTGTCCATGTCGTTTCAGGCCTCGGCCACCTCGGGAAGCGCCAGGCCTGGGAGGATTGGCCAGAGGAAGTACCCAGTGCTGAGGTAGATGCCCTGCTCCGTCAGCACTGGGACCTGAGCTTGCTCTCCACCGACACTCGGCTGACCGCCCGGCCTCCCTCCTGTGCCCGATGGACACGCAGTAGAGCCACGTGCTCGCACCTTGTGAGGAAGAGCTGCCAGGTGCCCCACAGCTCCCAGATGCGAGGACAGGAGGGACCTTCGGCTCCCCTTCTACCTAAGAATGAGTTCAGGATAAGCCTTTGTAGTCACGTAGGAATGTCATGCTGAGCGCAGCCCGACGCCCTTTGCTGCTGGGGAGCTGAGCTGCAGGGACTCGGGCGTCTCAGGCTGATGGCGAGTGGCTGCCAGGTTCGTCCCGGTTCCTCTAAGACGCTGGAGGGAAGAGCAGGCCTGACTGAGCGACCCCAACGCGGCGTCCGCAGCCCTGACAGCAGTCGCCGGCGGGTGTGTTCACCAGCCTCTGAGGGAAGGCGGCCTAGCAGCCCAGCCTCAGGCAGAGACGCCGTGGTCAGCGTGGTGCGCTCCTCCCGCAGCACCGGCGTGTCTGCGGCCCAGCAGGACCACGCGGGTCCCTGCCGCCAGGGGCCTGGCTCTGTCCGCCCGCGAGGGAGGAAGCCACGGCACAGCCTGGGTTCCGGGTGCCTGGTCCTCGCCGACCAGCCGGTGTGGAAGCCGTGACTGGACTCCCTGTTGGGCTCAGCGAGGCCTGGCTGGGCTCCGGCCAGCTCTGCGCCATCCAGCGACGTGCCCTCACCTGGCTGGCACTGTTGGCGACATCTTGACGAAAGTGGCTTAAAATACCTTCTTGACAGAAGCTCCTGAGGCTGATCTCTGCCCTGGTTTCCCCACACGGAGCCGGCAGGGCTGACCTGCTGCTCGCCGTGCGAACCTGCCAGGGCTCCTCCCCCCGGACTCCCTCCAGCTCTACCTTCACGGCGGTTCTCAGAACCACTCACCTTCTTGTTAAGCCTGCAGGGCTGGGGACAGGTGGAGATATTTATAAAATCACTAGGAACTAATTCTGTAGTTCGCCTGGTATTTTAAATCTCAGCGGAGGGTCATGGGAATGTGGCCTCGGCACAGGTCCTCCGCTTTCCGGGTCACGTGACCGTCTGGGGCGCCCGCAGGTGTGATGGGACCCATGTTCTTTCGCTGGGAAAGGCCCGGCCCCGCTAGGGTCCCGGGGTCCCTGTCCAGGGGGTGGGGTTCCTGGGGCCTGAGACCTGCTGCCCTCGGCTTCTCCAGCCCCTTGTTCTGTTAGTGACTTGATTCAAAAAGCTTCCCCGGAGGGGCTATTTTTCCTAAATGCAAATTGTTACACTGCAAATTGTTAAATAAAGTATTTTGCGCTCGGCGCGCACCTGCTTGCTTAGCTGATTGGAGTCCGTGAGCCTCCAGACCGGTGGCCGGTTCCGGCTGCTGTCAGGTCCCTGCGGGGCCATG